AGCACCATTTTCCTCGTCCCCTGCTGTTGTCTGGCATCCTCTCATCGGCTTTGCTCTCTTGCCTCATGCTCTCCTCTCTGCGCCCAGTCTCTCATTGCCTCAGCACAGCTGCACTACGATTGTGAGCAAGCGCCTAACATAGGTGCTGCGCACAGATTATTCTTTCTTCTTCACTGCCATCCTATTCCCTATCAATCCATTCATACTCGTGTGCCAGAACCATGCCACTTTTATCATGGAGCATGCCTTTAACTTGAGGCAGTTGGCATGACGAAAGCGTAATGATCCCTAAATGTTGCACGCGTTTTTCTTTCCTCTCAGCGAGCAAATCTGCTCACTACTTCAGAGGCACTCACACGGTTAGGTCACTGGAGTGAAGCTCTGGTCCAAGAAAAGTAGATCGGTCTTCAAGCACGCAGGATTTACCAACGTTCCAACACGACTTTGCCACGCGGAGGCGCGAAGGCCTAGAAATGCTCGCATCCCCCGGGGTCCCAACCACGGATTAGCATCACGGGTTCTCTCCTCGGCGCTGAGTATCTCCTGTCTCGCTATCTGCCTTTTAAAAATTTCCACATCTTATTAGGGAGCTCTTGATTTTCGTAGTAGTTTTCTGCGGTTTCTCTTGTGTCCCAGTGAACCAAAATACCCTTTCATCGCGGGGCGTGCTTGATTCGGTTGCTTATTTTGTTACTGCCGAAGAAAATCTTAACACTGTAAATGCCAACAAGTCCAAATTTTCTTCTAAAACTCTGTTGAGTACCTTGCAAACGAAGTCGTTTAGCGCAACGGGTATATAATACCTTCCAGTTCGAATATTTTCGTCTAAATGATATCTGTCCTCCAACTGCAACATTGAGTCGTGACGTCGTCGATATAGTAAAATGTTTATTCTCAGTATCACCACTAAAGCCTAAACAGCAATATAACGAAGGTCTGTTTTAAAACAATTTATAACATTCAGAAGACAAGTTCAAAATTTTCCTGAAGACTTTTGCCATGATTTGGAGCGTATGTGCTTCATCAAACATTGATCTGCTCCGACTATTGTGGAAAATTAACTGTTACGAGAGTCTGCGTAGCACATTGACGACAATGCGAGTTTCGGTGTTTTTGGCCATGTGGGATCGGTACGATCAAAGTGGCTGTTCTTGTTGTTTCAATTGAGTAAACACCCATTTAAGGATACAAAACGTATAGAAGTCATTATCTTGTTGAAGAGTGTTCGTAGAAATATATCTCATATAATACTTGGGACTTGTTACAACTTGACAAATTTATCGTTCACAACGTTTTAGTCGAACATTGAAATGCACAATGTTACTTCCTTCTGAAGAGTTAGTGTGAGTTTGAGCTGAATTGTAAAATTTACGAGGTTCGAAAAACCCTCCTTAAGCTGCACTATGTCCAGTTTTTCTTTTCCTGCTACTCTACTTCGCAACTGAATGACCGCCCGTTTTCGAGAATGGACAGTCGGCACGCTTCAATTGAGTCAGCTCACGACACAAAAGAAGATAAAGAAAGCAGCTTCGGTTGTTAGGTGACGTTGCCGGAGAGACCTTCGTCGTGACCCTCAGACGTACTTGAAGAAAACTTCAGAGAAGGCTCATTAATGGTTCCGGATTGCCTAGAAAGCAGCGGAAATGTGGAGCTCGGCTTTCCACTATGTCCGTCGGTCAATTAGGAATACGATGAGGCGTTTGATTCTCAACTGCAGCCTTTTCCGGAAAGCCAGCCCCACAAACGCTTATTTTGCAGCAAGCTAAATAGGACGTCCATGACCCGCGTTCCATTAAGAAAAAAAGCAAAATGCAAAGGTTCATATGATAGATTGACTAGCATATTCCGTAGACCACCTCCTTATCGAGAAGCGGGAGGATCGTGGTCCACTGTCTCTTCGCCATTAAGCAAAAGAATAAAAGCATTAGTGGCCTAATGGGTTCGTGAAATTGGCTGTTTGGGACGAGATCGATGGGACAGGTATCGCACGTCTGGTCGAGAGCATGACAAATAGCATATCCAAGCTATCAGGAGCTTTCGCAGGGAGTCCCGGTTTTTGATTCAAAATTCTTCGGCTTTCTGGAACGTTGCCGTATATTTTGTACACAGGCGTGAGTTTCAACCCTAATTCGGTTAGTAATGAAGTATTCTAAGTTTTTTTTTTTGCATTTACAATGCCCTTTTGGAAAACTACATACACTCTGATGGTCTTTTCGTTCTCTTTGCCAGCAACCTCACCAAATCTCGTAACTCTAAGAAGGCCATCGGGAAACGGTTCATTTTGGAGACAGAGAACTCCATTTCGAATGTCTCGAAAGGCAGCAGGACAAGTCTACAGACTTGAAATAAAAGGTAGAAAACAGTAGAAAATGAAAGCAAGTACTTTTCTGCTCTTAATTTACGCATGACGATTTGATTTTTGATTTTCGAGTTTTAAAGTCTTGTGTATACCAAATAAAAAGGTCCATGAAGTTTGCAAAAAAAGGTAAAATTGAATGAGCCTTACCACAAGACAAAGAACTACAGCCACAGTTTGGACGATCATAAAGTACAAGCCAGAGTTGCCAACTGAAAAAGGTGATGTCATAATGCGCAACGGTCGTTAACAAAACGTAGAATAAGTCAAACCGTTGCTACGAAGTTTTTTCTGCAAACGCGAGTTTTTGAGCTTTCTGTGGCCATAACTCACTTGTTTTTCATTTCGGTGGCAAAGTTCTAGCATGGCAAGAAAGCTCAAAATTTGCGTTTCCAGTAGCACCGCTTGCAATGAGTCGCACTTTTCGTGTCAGCCTCAAATACTCTACCCTTTCGTGGTAAGTTTTATGATGCTTCTTCCTTTTTAGTTATATGCAGACGCTGCTCTTTTGCTTCTTCCATTTTGCTTCAGTAAATTTGAGGAATGTGATGCCTTTACTTAGGTTATGAAGGCAGGAAGGAGCAGATCGGATGTAGACATTTGTTCATCTCTTTCTAGCTCAGTTTCTGAGCACTACACAAATACTTACAGGGTGTCCCAATGAATAGTCCCAAGCGAACTGAATACGGATCATTTGGTTTGAAACGATTAAGAGTAGTGAAGGGTGACCTCAGACAATAAAATAGTTTGAAAAGCGCATAAGGTTGTGAAAGGATGGAGTATCCTTGAACAGCTTCTGCACTTACCTATGTGAAATATGTCGTTCCAAAAAATCAAGCAGGTAAGCAGCATCTGAAAAAAGGTATCACTGAAGATTCTCTTGAGATAAATTTAGTACAGTTTCCCAAAAGAAGTGTGCCGACTATTAGTATGGAGTACAGTAATGGTAGCAAGCGCAGCAGTACCTTCGGTCTAGGCACTGTAAGCGCCATGGTCTTAAATGTATTACGTTCTGTATCCGACAACACATGTGGTCAATTTCGGACCATGAAAATGTAGGCACAACAGAGGCACTGATCCAGATCCTTACAGCAATTCTCTGCATGGGTGAGTTACCACGCTCCAAGCACGAGGGTCGTGGCACTGCTACGGCTCTAAAGTGGGCCACGACGGCGCAAATGCCATTCTTTGACCGTTGCGG